ATGCCCCCTCCTCAGTTGCCGGCCCTCTTCCTCGTCGACAGTCATGTGAAACTGGTTCAAAACCAAAAAAGTCCATGCTAAATAATCTAGGTATACAATCCATCATAACTGGTTTGTTCCACTTTGGAGTAAGCTTTTTTGGGGGAAGAATCAGTTGTGTTGTGTGTTTCTTTGACTGATGAAGCCTTTCGGATCGAAGGTGAAATGTTTCAGCACAAAAAAAAAGAAACTGTCCAGATGACCTGACTGAAAAATGTTGATATTGTATACCTGGATTATTGAGCATGGACTTTGTTATCAGATTTAAGATTTTAACCTATTTATTTTTATTCAATTCAATTCATCAATACTTTATTAATGTCAAAGGGAAATTAAATGTTATTGTAACTCATCATCCTGGTTTCATTAAAGAGTTGTTCAGGGGTCTGCAACCTTTACAATCAAAAGAGCCATTTCTGCCCCTTTGTTCACTAAATTAAATGTGTCTGGAGCCACAATACCTGTTATAACTGGGATTCTCAACTGGTGGTCCACAGACCATTTTAAGTTTGTTGGAGGAAAATTTTCTGACCAGTAGGGTAGTTGGGTAGGGTAGTTCTATGGCCTTTTTGAAACTGAAAATATCTAATATATAAATAAAGGCTAAATGAAAAAAAAAAAAAGCTTTGTTGATATTTTTTACATTTTAAGACAACAACAAAAAAGACTAGATTCTTGTAAAGAAGGAAAAATAATATGTTCTTTCCCGATAATAAATAAAAAAATATTACAACTATGCAGGTCTAGGAAAATTATTTTAATTGTGGAAAAATTAAGTATCCAACTTCAAATAAATAAAGTTAAAGTATGTTTTTCTCCTTCCATTATTTCTAGTATTCACATATTCGCAAAGGAAATGACAGAAAAACGGCTAAAACTAGCACTTTTTGTTGTTATAAGAAACAGTAAAATTCAGTTCAAAGTTAGTTTTGATCAACGCTTGAAAGAACCGCTGCAGAGGATCCAAAGAGCAGCATGTGGCTCCAGAGCCGCAGATTGCAGACCCCTCTTCTAGATGCTGATGGCTGTGGGCAGGAAGGATCTCTTGTAACACTCTTAGTCTGATGAAGAGGATGCTGAGGGTTGCTCTTCATTTTATGATGAATCAACAAAAAAGGTTGAATCATGTCATCTGGACTTCGTTTTTTTGTTAAAAACAAAAAAACGAAGTCCAGATGACATGATTCAACCTTTTTTGTTGTTATATACCTGGATGACTGAGAAAACAAACTTTGTGTTTATGATGAATCCTTCTCTAAATACGATAAATTGTTTTCCTAAAATATTAAGAGGGGCAATATTATCTAACAGTATAATTAACAATATCTTAAAACTGCTAAGTTGTTTAAGTTGATGAGACAGCCCCTGGTTTACTCCAGAGCTAGCTGACCTCCTTCACAGGAGAGATCATCTTTGGGCTGCAGCGAGAAAATCTGGCTCAGACACTGATTGGTTGAGTTTTCAACAGATGAGGAATAAATGCACAACTGCCATCGAAGCAGCTAAACACAACTATTTTTTATCTCAGACCTCCAAAAATCTAAATGACCTTAACAGATTCTGGAAAACCATCAAATCTCTCTCAGGCACCCCCCAATCATCTGACCTCCCATCACAACTTCTCATTAACTCTGTTCCTGTGTCAAATCAGCACGAGATCCTGAACTGTTTCAACAAACATTTTGTTGCTTCTGGTTCTTTATTTGACACAGTTACTAATGGAAGATCAGCCACTTCACTTAATAACCAAACTTCTACAAATCAATCCTCAGTTAATCACACCTTCTCTTTTTCTCCATTCTCAGTCAGTGAGGTCAATAAACTGTTAAAAGATCTTGATCCTAAAAAATCTGCAGGTCCAGATGAACTTCCACCTTATTTTTTAAGGCTGGCTGCTCATATCATCAGAGTCCCTGTGACCCACATCTTCAATCTCTCCATAAGACAAAACTCCATCCAGACACTTGGAAAACAGCCTTTGTTCTTCCTTTGCTGAAGGGAGGTGACCCACCTCACTGAACAACTATGGACCAATCTCTAAACTCTGCATTTTAGCCAAGGTTCTAGAAAAACTGATAAACTCTCAAATCAAAAATTACCTGGACTCATTTAACATCTTACCTCCACATCAATCTGGTTTCAGGAAACAACACAGCACAACCACTGCTTCACTGAAGGTTCTTAATGATGTTGTTGAAGCACTGGATGCTAAGGATTATTGTGCTGCACTTTTCTTATACCTGTCTAAAGATTCTGACACTGTGGATCAGAACATCTTGTGTCATAAACTCTCAGAAATCGGTTTCTCAGAACACACCATTGGTTGGTTCTCTAACTATCTTTCAGACCGGAGGCAATGTGTTCAACATAATGGTATGTCCTCCATTTATTTAACAGTCAACAATGGTGTACCACAAGGCTCAGTCTTAGGACTCACCCTCTTTACAATCTACATACATAATGTAGGTAAAAACATCCCTAATGCATCCATACATTTCTATGCTGATGACACAGTTGTTTATTGTCGAGCTAAAACTGTTGCTAAGGCTTTCCAGCTTTTGAAATCTGCATTCAACATCATCCAGACTGATTTGTTCCGCCTCAAACTTGTCCTAAATGCCGACAAAACCAAAGGGATGCTTTTTTCAAATAGGAAGATGGTCCCAGCAGTTCTTCCTCCGATTTTATCCTCAAATGGTGTCCCCATTGAGTTTGTTGATTCCTATAAATATTTGGGTATCTTGGTCGACTCACATCTCTCTTTTAAGCTCCATGTGGAGGTAAAGAAACTGAAAGTTAAACTGGGTTTCTTTTTCAGAAACAGATCCTGTCTAACCCTGAATGTTAGAAAACACCTTGTATCTGTGACCTTCCTTCCCTCCATTGATTATGGCGACATTATTTACATGAGCGCTCCTACAAGAACCCTGCAGATGTTGGATGCTGCAGATGTTGGATGCTGCAGATGTTGGATGCTGCAGATGTTGGATGCTGTCTATCATGGTGCACTAAGATTCATAACTGGCTGTGATTATCGTACCCACCACTGCACCCAGTATTCACTGGTTAACTGGACATCATTAACTTCACGCAGACTCTCCCACTGGTACATTTTCATCTTTAAATCACTTCTTGGTCTGTTGCCTTCATACATCTCCTCCTACATGTCTCTGCGTGAGTGCAGCTACAGCGTGCGCTCTCAGGACATTATTACCTGCAGTGTTCCCTCAATGAGGACTGAACTAGACAAAATGGTCTTCTCCTACTCTGCTCCTGTTTCCTGGAATATCTTACAAAAAGATTTTGAAGCTCTCGACCTTGACCTCTCTAAGTGTCTTTAAGAATCTGTTGAACTCCTGACAGGGACCAATGCAGACACGTTCCTGTTTTTAGTTTTGTACATTCGTCTTAGAATCTAGCTGTTTTTTTGTTACTATTTTTTTTTAGCCATCCTATCTAAAAAAAAAAAACAACCTGGAGTATGACTTTTTATAACTATCTATCTATTGTTGTCGCTGTTGTCCATTGTTGTCATCATTCTTTGTTGAAATCAGGTCTCTCTTGTAAATGAGTCCTCAAGGCTCATTGGGATTTACCTGTCTAAATAAAGGTTGAATGAATGAATTATTATTATTTTAAAAGCCGCAATCAGTTTTTTTTAAGTGACATATCACGTGACATAACACAGTAACATAAAGGAAATAGCACCCCCTTCATTTCCGGAGTCCCATTTCCAAATATGATATGGGACTGACACTGGTCTGTCCACGCCCCTTTCTGTTTGCTGCAATGAGGTATACTTGGGATGAGGGGGCTGGGCTAAGTGTGGTCTCATTGGACCTTATATGATTTAACGTGAAAGGAAAAATTATACTGGTGCAGAAAAAGCCTTTCTATGTGATGCAGCGAGCCAAATAAACTATTCCTTGATGGATACTGAATCCCTGGGAGACTCTTCTTAGAGTTGCTGGCCCCATTTAAACCAGTCAGAACCAGGTCATAATTTCATTATAATCCTGTCTCTGAGTAGATAAAAAAACTGGGTCTGTCTAAATAAAAATACTAACAGTAGCACATATACAGTATGTTCCGTGTCAGAATCTCTGATAAAAATAAGAGTGAGCAGGTCAAACAGCATTTTGCTATCCATCACTGCTACTGGAGCTAGAGCTGCTCCTCCACCTCATTGATAGGACTCAGCTGTGGGGGTTCAAGTGTCTGATTAAGATGTCTTTCTCTATTAAGTTGTTGGTGTACATTTGACTGATCTGGTGTGGGAGGAAAGGGGTGGGGGGTTGTTCTATGTTCTTTGTTGTTAAATGTTCAAAATGAAAAAAAATCAATAAAACACTTTGTTTAAAATAGATGCCTTTCTCTGCAGAGTTTCCATGTAGGGATGGCGCCATCTAGTGGGCCTTCCCCTGTCTGTTCTCCCTTGTGTCTCTGCTTTGATTGTCTGATTATCATCACACGTGTCATGTCCTGTTAGTGTATATAAAGTCTGTCTGTTAGTCCTGTCAGTGTCTGTTCATCGTTGGGTATTGCCTGTCTGATCCTGTTTGATCTGTTCCTGAATCTGTTTTGTAAGTTTTGCTGCCATGTCAGCCTTTTGATTTATTATTATTAAAAGTATTTTATTTTATACGTCTGCCTCCTGAGTCCTGCCTGCGCAACTGGGTTCTCTCCTGTCCTGACCTGCCTGGAAACTCTGACATTCCAGGCATGTGCCACTGGTAGGAGGCTCCACAGCAAACTGAGAACCTGCTGGAGGGGTTATACTTCATTGTGAACCCAGACCAGAGAAAACCTGGGAACACACTAAGATTCTCCTGGAGGGTATTGAGAGTGTCACTGTGGAGAGGGTGGTCTCGGTTTTTCCACTGATATGTATTTATGTGTATGTATGTATGTATGTATGTATGTATGTATGGTGCATCATCTTCCCTGTATTTTCTTAACAGAGTCTGCTGCATGTCCATGATGCTGTGGCTCAGAGGGACTTTGAGCCCACACTACCACCCATACCTGACAATGCTGTGGAAAAAGAAGAAGATTCTGTCAAAATCATCAGCTTGGTCAAAACCAAAGAACCCCTGGTCAGTATTTATATTATTATTTTTCAGTTCAATTATGTATTTTTCAGTTCAATTTTATGTCTCTGAGCCAACAAAGGAGGTAGTCACAGAGCTGAGTATGCATGAAGATGAGAAATAGGATTCATCTATACAGCTGTGGTCTGGAACCATTTTTTGTGTCTTAAGAGTAGTAGTATGTGAATATTTATTACTGTATTATTTTTTGTTTATTTGTTTGAACACTGAACATTTGGCCTGTTTTACCTTTTTTGTTTTGGGTAACATTGTATATTTTCCGTATTCCTTAATGTAGAGGTAAAGCCCTTTTGTACCAAATGACAACCCGACTATGCTCTTCACAAGCCAAGAAGAAAGTGACTGGATTGTTAGATTTGAAAACCCTCCTTTTAGTGCAAAGTCACTCATGATACTGCTATGCTCTTAGAACTCAGCAAATATACTGCTTTCACTTGCCCTCTTTTGCATTCCTGAGATGTTCTCCTCCTACATCACAGCCTTCTGCACCCAGGTTACCTCATTGACACTCGGATGTTTGATTTGGTCCCAACATGACCAATTCTGCATGAAATTCTCCATCACTATACCACATGGTTGCACATGGACCTCATGTTAAGGATACACTACCACCTCGCTCCACCCATGATTTTGATACACTGTGATTACCACCTTAGCCTCACTTTATATTCTTTGGAAATGTTCAAAAGCCTCCCCAACCTGTTACATTCCTTCACATGTAATGGTTATCCACCACATTCTTGAAAACATTGCCAAGAGCCCACAAACCCACACTTGCAAATTGTTTATGTTGTTGCAAGATATGTTCTCTCTAAGCTATGCGCTTGCGCAATCACATACTGCTCACACATTCTCTGCACACAATAAAATCTATTCTGCACAGTTGTGACCTGGCCACAAGGTTATCTCCCGTTTTATAATAAACTCAACCCGAGCGCAGCAGTCTGTACAATCTGTATGCAGCAGCTGAAAGATGCATGCAGAGAGGAGGACAGAAACACCCCCCTGAAAGGTACGTGCAGAGCAGAGGAGGAAACCCCCCTAGTCAAAACAGACATGCGTCACATGATTTTTTAAAATTCCAGCCAATCAGCTTCATCTGGAGTTTCAGCGCTGACTACGAACTAAGTTTGAAGAAGCTAAGACTTTTAGCGCTTTTCCAAGCTCTATACTGCACATTTCATCGCATACCGAGGAATAATATTTGGTGTTGTGGATTTATCACAGAAGTTTACGGTTGTACGACGTCAAACAAAGTGGTAAGTAAACTAATCCCACAACTTGTAGCCAATTTTATCATACTAAGTGTTAGCAAACAGTGCTCGCTGTATTATATCTGGATGGTCAAAGGAAAAGCAGTGTTACCCCTAGATGAGCAGCACATTGTATGGTCTGGAGACAGTGGCATTGACAAAAAGACAAGAGAAAGAACTGGAAGTGGCAGAAATGAAGATGCTGAGGTTCTCCTTAGGAGTGACAAGGCTGGATAAGATTAAGAATGAAATAATCAGAGCTAAAGCACAGGTTGAGCAACTGGGAGATAAAGTTAGAGAAGACACACTAAGATGGTTTGGACATGTCCAGAGGAGGAACAGTGGTTTGGACATGTCCAGAGGAGGAACAGTGGTTTGGACTTGTATTTTAAGCTACAAATAAACATGATGGATGATGGTCATATGCTAAGCCATTAGTAAGAAGTGTTTTGCTTACCCGAGTGAGGTAGACACAGGACACATACCACGCCCTCACTGCAGCCTTTCTCCTCCAAGAGGTCTAAAACTAATCCTGAGACTCAGGTATTACCTGTAGCTGATTTTTCAGGACAGTCTAGTTCAACGCTGTGTTGAGATGATTCACCCAGACTGTTAACTACCTCCGATCCTTGCACCACACCCAAAATCTTACCTCGTGCCTCGCCCGACCTAGCAGCAGGAGTGGGGACGTTTAGCAGACGAGGAAGCGCAAGTTAACGGTAGCTCATCTCCTGATTTAGCGTTGCAATTGTTAACCGATCTGGCTTTGTTCAGAATCTAGGCGCAAGACTCTTGGATGTTGTTTTATAATCAAAAGCTAGTAAACCGTTAAAAACCTCCCGTGCTTCTGTTGTTTCTCTGAACCAAGTTTCCCACTTCCATGAACAATGGGGTGTTGAAATAAGAATCCAGAATTTTACGTTTTGCTTTGCTTTAATCAATGACTTTTGCAGGGGAACAGCAATATGCACGGTAATGATTACATTCGATTACAGAGGTTACATGATGAATAATATTCATTCCTTAATCACTTTCCAGTTGTTGACCTTTCCTGGGCAAGGTAGATTTCTGTCCCTGTGGAGGGCTTGAGGATAGCTTGTGGACTCCACTCTGTTCGGCCTCAGATGTCTTCCTTCTGGCCGGCCACGCCCTGACTCACTCAGGCGCACCAGAACCCCCACAATTTGCCCACACTCTCTACCTGGCCCAATACGTTATTTCTCACTGCAATGACAACCTTTCTGCAACTCTGAGCAACCAAATTTATAATATAATCGATCTTTCTGCGTGCCAATTTATGTGCCACTGCTTTAATTTGAAATAAAGTTTTGTTAAGGACAAGGTTTGTGAAACGTCTTCTTACCATTTTACTATCTTTAGGTGGAATTCCTCCAAAGTCCAATTCAGCAAGAAGCAAATTTCCCCATTCCCTCTTGAATGCGGGCCGTTTCTGGTCCTTACAGATGGTCTGAATTTGAAGAAAAGGATTCAGGACTAATCCGGGCTGAAGGGAATATATAACTCCAAACGAAGCTTATTCCAACGGATTCACCCTTGTTCTTCTTCAGCTGAGACCGTCCAAAACTTGTCCTATTAATCCACACACGCGTCCGTGGTCCAAACAGTCCTGTTTGTTGCTTCCACATGAGTTAGTGGTCCCCAACAGCGGTGGTTTTACAGAGACGTCTGTTTTTATAGCCTGAGGTTTTGACTGACACTTCCAAAAAGATCATGCCACCGGCACAAACCAACCTTTTTTGGGCTGGGCTTAGTTTCTGATTTACAGGCATGTCAAGATATCTCAAGATGGTGCCGGTGTGTAGGGCTGCCCGTCTCTCGCTCTCTGCTTGTATTTTATTTTTGCTATTTTTACAATGGTTTGTGCAGTGTGCCGAGTCATATTTTCAGTATGATCGTCGGGCACTTTTGGAGCTCCGTACTTTTGCTGAAATTCCCGCGGAGTTTTTGAACAGCGGCCAGCACTCTCCCCCACCGGTCCTATCTGCGATTCCTGCGTTCCTTCTGCGTGACCCTGGCCTTTCTCCATGGAGGAAACGTCGCAGACGTCGTGGGAAGCGTGTAGGGATTTTGGTGAAACTGAGGCAAAGTGTGGATTATTCTATCAGGACTCGCTCTGGATCTGATCATCTCCTCTCTGACCCGTGGTGCTCCCGGGACCCGGCTGCTGGCCAGCTGCCCGCACGCTCAGTCCATGGAAACACCTGGAGTTGTTTACCTGTGCGCTGCACCAGCAGACCAGGAGGAGCTGTTCTTCATAACCTGCGCCCGCTGGCGCGCGCGTCTCCATCCACGGCTGTACCTGTGTTGGACAATATCAGGATGTGTTTAATCAATGCAAGGTCTGTTTCCAACAAGACGTTTATCCTCAATGACTTTTTTAAAGATCAGGAGTTGGATTTTCTGTTCGTCATGGAATCTTGGATTTCTGATGGTGAGTCCAGCGCCTTGGTGGAATTACTACCCCCAGACTGTCTGTGTTTCAATGCCCCGCGGCCATCAGGTCGGCGCGCGGGGGGGGGGGGGGGGGATTATTAACAGTTTTTAAAGCAAACTTGGCCTGTAAACAGTTGTCCATCCCAGTGTCCCGCGCCAGCTTTGAGCTGAGCGCCTTTGAACTCGGACACTGTCCTATGGTTCTATGCGCGCTTGTCTACCGCCCACCTCGTTCCAAGGACTTCATAAATGAATTCTCTGACTTTTTGGCTGATATCACACAGATATACACTCACTTTTTGTTTATTGGTGACCTTAATTTGCATGTGTGTTGTCAGGAGAAGCCCTTAGTGAAGGACTTTCTAGATTTATTGGACTCTTTTTTGGCTTAGCTCAGCAGGTGAGCGGCCCCACCCAGGAACACGGTCACACGCTGGACCTCGTTTTAACACGCGATGTCTCTGTTTCTAATTTGAAAATCGGTGACAATGTTTTTTCAGATCACATGCCTGTATTGTTTGACTTCACCCCCCCTTGTCCTACTGCTAAGACGTGCGTTCCTGCACGTACGCGTTCTATTAACCGTTTCACTGCTGCTCGTTTTAATGAAGGTTTTAATTCTGAGAGGATCGAACAGTTCCTGAGGAGCTAACCTCTCAGTTCAACTCTGCCTGTTTAAATGTTCTGGACCGTGTTGCTCCCCTTAAGACCAGAAAAACGAAACTTAGATCAGAGCCTTGGCTGAATGACGTCACGCGTTAGGCGGCAGTGTCGCAGAGCTGAACGAAGGTGGAGGAAGGACAGGCTCCAGGTTTCTTTTCAAATGTTAAGGGAGAGTTGGCGTCACTATCAGAAAACCGTTAAAGCTGCCAAATGTAAATTCTTCTCTGATTTAATTGTCTCCAACTCCCACAACCCCCGAGTTCTTTTCTCCACCCTGAACTCAGTTCTACACCTCAGTGAGCCTTCACCTCTGGAAGCCTCAACTGAGCTGTGTGAAAACTTCCTCCATTTCTTTTTAGAAAAAGTGGCAAACACCCGGGCACTCATTTCTCCGCCAGCTCATGATCTGTCCATCCCATCTCAGTGTGTGGCTGTGTTTGACCACTATGAGCCCATCTCTCTGTCCTCTCTGGAGCAGGTAATGTGCAGCATGAAGCCATCTGGTTCCCCCTTTGATGTGGTCCCCCCTCGACTACTAAAGGAAGTTTTTCCTACCCTGGGTCCTTTTATCCTCGCTATTCTGAATAGCAGTTTTATCCTCAGGTGTGGTGTCAAAGACTTTTAAACATGCTGCTGTCCAGCCCCTCCTGAAAAAACCTAACCTTGACCCCTCAGTCATGTCCAACTTCCGGCCTGTCTCCAGACTCCCATTCACCTCTAAACTACTGGAAAAAATTGTGGAGTCTCAGTTGAAACAGTTTTTGGGGATCACGCTATCCTAGAGTTATTCCAATCTGGCTTCAAATCTCTCCATAGCACTGAAACTGCTCTACTGAAGGTTTTTAACGACATTTTCATATCCACAGACGCAGGTGATTCTGTGCTGCTTGTCCTATTGAACCTTACATCTGCTTTTGACACCATCGACCACAACATCCTCATTTCTAGACTGGAGCAGTGGGTGGGCATCACAGGGTCAGCCCTTAAATGGTTTGGGTCCTACCTCTCTGACAGAACGTTCTGTGTCAATATCAAAGATTTTAGTTCGGCATCGACAGCGCTCCAGTGGGGGGTACCGCAGGGGTCCATCCTCGGTCTCCCTCTTTTTTCTTTATACCGCTGCCACTAGGTGCTATCTTCCGCAAACACAACATACCCTTTCATTTCTACACCGATGATTGCCAAATTTACTTCCCCCTGAGGCACAGAGGCACACGCTCTATTCAGCCTCTTCTTGACTGCCTGGCTGACATCCGGGACTGGATGGCTTTAAACTTCTTAAGCTTCAATGAGAAGAAGTCTGAGGTCATGCTGTTCCATCCCAGTGGCTCACTCATGAACCATGACATTGACCTTTTCTCTCTAGCCCCGCTAGAGAAACAAAAGGTCACTAATCTGGGGGTGATAATGGACCCGTCCTTAAAACTCAACAGTCACGTAAACATGATGGTCAAATCCTGTTTTTTTCAGCTGTGACGGCTGTCTAAGCTGAAACCTATACTCTCCAAGAAGAACCTTGAGACAGTGATCCACGCCTTCATAACATCTAGGCTTGATTACTGCAATTCACTTCTGTTTGGAATCAGTCAGTCCTCCATTGCTCGTCTACAACTGGTCCAAAATGCTGCAGCCCGATTTTTAACTGGTACAGGCTATAGAGAGCACATCACGCCAGTTTTGGTCTCCCTGCACTGGCTACCCATTCACCTTTTGGATCCAATTCAAAATTCTCATGTATGTTTTTAAATCACTGAACAGTTCTGCCCCATCCTATCTCACTGATCTTCTGCAGCCATATGTCCCACCGCGCTCCCTGAGGTCAGCAGACCAGATGCTTCTCTCAGTCCCAGAAACCCGTCGTAAGCTCAGAGGTGACAGGGCTTTCTCTGTTGCAGGTCCACGACTGTGGAATGAGTTGCCACTGAGTGTCCGGCAGGCTCCCACACTCTGTCTTTAAGTCTCGCTTGAAGACCCACTTCTATTCTCTTGCCTTTAACACGTTGTGATTTGTTTTGGTCCGGTCTGTTCTCTACTCTGTTGGCCATTTGTTAGCTTCTGCTGCTATTTGTATCTGTATTTCTATTTTATGTTTTCCTGTCCGCTGTACATGTTTGTTTTCTTTTGTACAGCACTTTGGTTGGCCTTGTTGCTGTTTTATGTGCTCTATAAATAAATTGGTATGGTATGGTCTATGAGGATTTTGCCATGTCGTTCCTTATAAATATTAAAATCTGGGTGTAACTCATTCAAATATGCCTTAATCATTCTGAGTTGCAGGTTCTGATACATGTCCACGGCCTTGGGGAAGGGAGGGGTGAGGAAACTGTCAAAGCATCTTTGTTGTTTTCAAAACATTCCAGGAGGAGTTGAGATAAGTCCAGTGTCAAAGCCACAGTTTGGGTCAGGCAGAACTCTTGAATTGTTGTTTCTGCCTTTTAAAGTCTCACTGGTATATATTCCTCTGATGGAACTCCAAAACAGCCGAATTGATCCTTTACTCCAAAAGTCGAGCTCACAGCTTCTCCAAGATTATTCCCACCATTCATGAGTGCTGCCAGTGAGTTCACAGTCCTGATAACAGCTGCTCCAGCTCCATGCTGCAGCTCCACAAATTCAGTCTGAGTGCTGTTGAGTTTCGACACATTCACATTAATTTATAGACAATCCAGAATTCACCAGCCAAACAGCAAAATAACCAGTTGTCATCATGAATCCAATTTGTTTCCGTCAAAGTAAGAGGGTCCTCCCCCTTACCCTGACTCCTGTCAGGAGAAGTTGATCAATGTTGTTGAGAGACCAGCTGAACATTCGAATTAGGAGGTATGCAGAAAAAAACAAACAAAAAAGACGTTTTTTAAGGGTTCACAGGACAAGAGTGCAGCAGGGAAGCGGGGGGGGGGGGGGGGGGAGAAGACAGGGAAACACGTCTGGCTTAACCGGAGGACAGAGAGAAAAAAAAAAATGTAAAAGGAGGACGTGAAGGTAAAAACACGTAGCTTTCTTCTAGTCCATCAAGTTGAACCGGCAACAAAAGACTGGTGCATAATCGTGCATTGCAGAGGCTGTATCCTTTATGAAGAGCACACTTTCTCTTATATTTAACACCAGCTCTACAGACCCTTTTTTCAGTCTCATTTTCCTTTTCTTTGCCCCTGGGTACTTGCTCGGAGCCATATATGTAGAAAAGTATTCAGGAGAAAAGGAAGAACACACAAAGGGAGGAGGGAAGGTCTGTCTGTAACTCTCCCAGCTGTCAAAAGTTTTTTCCATAGACATTCTGATGTTCATCAAAGTGCATGGATCATAAGTTTGAGCAGAGAAGACACCATCATGGTACAGAAAAACTGATATGATAGCAAAAAAAATTAAAATTAAAGTCAAACGATACAAACACAGAGGAGCAGAAACGGCCAGACACAGGCGCCATCTTGTCTGTGTCACATGACGCTAATCTGTTGGGTTATTAAGGGAACTCTAATAAGCTGGTCCAGGTTTTAATAAATCCACCAGGTTGTTCTTTAATAGTCTGAATAGTTCTAAATCGTTTTTATTATTCAGACCCATTCATCTTCCATCTGTTTTTCAACAGAATTTTTGTTCTATTTCAACAATTCATGTATCAAAACATTCGGCTCATTCAGGACATACCTGTTCTGACCTTTTGTATTTATGCAGTTTTTACTTTTTGACATATTTGGCTTTGTCTGCCATGTTTTTCTTCATTGAAAATGCAGCTAAATGCAGCTCTTCACCTCCTTCAAACTATTTGAGATGTTTACAACCTGTTAATAATCATTTCAGCTGCTGTTCTGGTTCAGCTGTTTTCAGCTTCTCTCTGCTCATTCATTTATTTTTCTCCTCTTTCAGCTTCTGTCTGCTACTTTTAGCTTTGTTGTTTGAAACCAGAGAGTGATTAAACCTTCTCAACCTGTTTTCAACTTCTTCAGTAGCTTTTATCAAAAAATCTTTCAGCAATAAGCATTCATGCTGCAGTTTCACAGGAAATATCATTTCTCTAGTTAATAGTTTGACCTCACGCTGCTTCTCTTTTTGATTTGTTGTCCAATCGTTTATGTTCCATCATCACAAGGGAGCAACGATTAAGATGGACAAATCCACGGGAGCCATTGTTGTGGCCAGGATCATGAGAGGAGGTTCAGCTGATAAAAGTGGTAAACAAACATGCAACATGCAGTGGTACAAGGAGAATCACGTTCAGGTGTATTTTTATTATCTTTGTAACATTTGAAGGCCTCATCCATGAAGGAGACGAGCTGAAGGAAGTGAACGGAGTTTCACTGAAACATAGAAAACCAAAGGAAATCCTGCCACTCCTGGTGAGCCACACACTTCACACTTTCCCCCATCCCACTCCACACAAACCAGTAACACAGGTTGCCAAAAAGGTTTTCTAATTTATTTACAAACTTCTAAATACTTTAGTTCTGGACCCATAAAAGAGATCAACATGAAGCTCTTGACCTTTGACCTCTCCAAGTGTCTTTAAGAATCTGTTGGACTCCTGGCAGGGACCAATGCTGACATGTTCCTGTTTTTAGTTTCTACATTCGCCTTAGAATCCAGCTGTTTTTTGTTTTGGTTTTGTTTTGTTACCTTTTCCTTTTAGCCATCCTATTTGTATAAATAAATAAAAAATAAAAAAATAAAAAACCTGCAGTACGACTTTTTATAACTGTTTATAGTTGTTGCTGTTGTCCATTGTTGTCATCTTTCTTTGTTAAATCAGGTCTCTCTTGTAAATGAGTCCTCGAGGCTCAATGGGATTTACCTGTAGAAATAAAGGTTGAATGAACATAACAGGGACAGCACGGTGGCGCAACTGGTAGAGCTGCTGCCTCTCAGCGAGCAGGTCCTTGGTTCAAACCCCGGTCCAGGGTGTACCCCGCCCCTTGCACAGTGATTGCTGGACATGGGCACCGGCGACCCCCGTGACCCAAAAGGGAATAAACGGGTAAAGATAATGGATGGATGGATGGATGGATGGATGGATGGATGAACATAACAGGCTTTTAAACAGGCAACTTGAGCACTGACTGACCCCATGAGTGTGATGCGAGTGAAGCTTTTATAGTGACTCATTAGGTCATTCTGACGCAGTAAAGCAGCAAAAACCAGAAATTAAATGGACTAAATAAGAAAATGTTAGCAACAAAACAACCCCTGTCAAAACAGTTCTAAATAGTAACCTATTAAAGAAAAAACTGTAGGGTTTTTGGTTTTTGGCCTCTCTTTGTTTCCTGTCGGCTCCCCCTCCTTGTCTCACCTGTGTCTAATGTTAATCACCGCAGGTGTCTGTCGTTGTCCCAATCAGAGTTGTGTGTGTGCATATTCAGTTCCCTCGTGTCGTGTCTTTGTCTCCGGATCATCCTTCAATATTGTTGTGTTTCTGCCTTCCGTCCTGTTATTTAGTAAGTGAGCTGCCTCGTCAGCCTTTGCTTTGTTTTTGTATAAATACATATTTTTGATTTTCCACGAGCTCCTGTCATTCTCCTGCAATCGGGTTCAACACTCCTGACGGCAGAACCCGACAAAAACATTATCAAATGGAAAGCACAAAACTCAAACTTGTCTCTGTGCCGACATGCAGCACGTGTCGGTGTGTGAGCTGTGCACTGAAAAAAGTTTGTTCGCTTTATTGATTGAATCATGGACATCGGTCCCACACAGTTAGAATAAGTTGAACTGACTTCATTTCCTTCTTTCCCTCAAGTACTTACTGCCTGTCAAATCAACATACTTCCATACACATACAGAGAGGGCGCTTGTGCAGGCAGCGACCAGTAGCGGATGAGAGTACGTGACGTGGTGTGTTTTTTGGTTTTTATTAATTTTATGTTTTAATCAATTTGTTTTGTTTTAATGGCATGATTAGCATATCTCAAAATCTGAAGGAAGTTGAGTATCAAGGCTCCAGCGTTTTCAAACAAAGATGGACTTTCTTTCACTTTTTGGGCTGTGGTTCCTGGTTCACCAGTGAATCGAAGAGTATTGTCCGTGAGGTCAGGATCCAGTACTCAAGAGACACACAAATGTTGCCACCTTAGCTCGAGTGTCAGACCTCAACCCACAAATACCGCCGAATCTCATTCGGAGAAATTTGAACAGAACAAGGTTTAATAACGGTGCGAGTAAAAGAAAGCAGGGAATACGTGCGGGGCTCAGACTTCGGCTGAGGAGACCACGCGTTGAGCGCATCCTTCTTCCTTCTCTCATCTTGGCAAATGTGCGGTCCCTCAGGAATAAACTCGATGAACTTCAAGGCTGCGTCCGCTACAAAAAGGATTTTAAAGACTGCTGCGTTTTGGCTCTCAGTGAAACGTGGCTCACAGAGCGGGACTTGGACTCGGATCTGTCCAT